GGAGGCTGAACTGCATCCACGAAAACAGTTTTTTTTCTAGGATCATTAATTCCGAGAAGGCAGGTCCAAGGCTACCATTCACGCCTTACTCATTTTCAAAGCGGTTCCATGGGGCAATTATGATTTTCCATATAAGCTACTGGCAAATCTAAGTTAAATGAAGCCAGGCTAGTATTCCAAAAAGGAGTGCACTTTACCTGCAGGGATACCTTACAGCCTTCCCTGGCTTTAGGCATGTCTCCTCACCTCTAAATGAATGAGCCTCTAAATAAGACTTTTAAAACATAATTTTCCAATTTTTATTGTGATAAAACACATATAACAGAATATATAACCGTTTTAAGTGTGCAGTTTGGCTGCATGAACTAAATCTGTTTTGTTGTACAGCTGTTACCACTACTCCATGCCACCACTCTTCATCTTGCTGAATTGAAATTCTGCACTTAATAAATATTAAATCAATAACAGTTAAACAATAGCTCCCTATTCTTCCTCCCTTCCACACCCAGCAACTGCCTTCCTACTTTCTAGTTCTGTGACTGTGACTCATAGGCATGGAGTGGTGGAGTGTCTTTTTGTGAGTGCCTTATTTCACTTACCGTGTGCATCCTCAAGAGCTATGCATGTTATAGTATGGGTCACACTTTCCTTCTTTAAGGCTGAGTAACATTTCTATACATATACACCCCATTTGGTCTATCCATGGATTTGTCAGTGGACGCTTGGGTTGCTCCCATGTTTTAACCCTCGTGAATGATTCTGCTATAAACTCGTACAAATACCTCTTTGAGAGCCTATTTTTAGTTCTTCTGAGTGTCTATCCGGAAGAGGAATTACTGAGTTATGTAGCAGCTCTGTTTTTAACTTTATAGAACCACCACGCTCTTTTTATGGTGGTGGCACCATGTTACCTCCCTAGCAACTGGGCATGAGGGCTCCATATCCTCCCAGCAATTGTTATCTTATTTTGTTTTTTTCTTTATTTTTATTTTAAAGGGAAAAAAACAAAACAGTAAAATGGGACCAAACAAAATGGTGAGAACAATATTGGATTTTAAAAACAAGACAGAAGGAAACCCCCCCATAGTTGCCATATTGCATATTGTTATCCTCTAAACAGAGGCTCAGACTCCCAGCTTTAGGCCTGGAAAGTCAATCAAACAAAACAAGCATTACATTGTCTCCTTACTTCACTGGCTATCCTGTCAGCCTGTGTTCCTCTGAATCAGTCAGTAGCTGGGGAGGGGGAGGGCGTGGCTCTTTTTGTTTCCCAGCCTGTGCACCGGCTGGCTTACAGGAGGGGGTTAGCTTTTTGGTTCTTCTTCTGGCCGACAAACGCCACTGGCCTGTTTTTTCTTTAAATGGGTCATCCTAGGGACTGGGGATTTAGCTCAGTGGCATAAGTGCCTGCCTTGCAAGCAGGCAGTTGTGGGTTCAGTCCCCGGTACCGATAAAAAAGGAAAAAGATAAAAAAAAAAAAGGGTCATCCTAAAGGATATGAGGGGGTATTATGGTTTTGATCATGTTTCTTTTCTTTCATTTCATTTCTTTCTTTTTTATTCTTGTGTTTTGGGATAGAGTCTCACTATGTAGGCCACACAGTGATCTTCCTGCCTCAGCCTCCTGAGTGCTGGAATTACAGGTGTGCACCACCACACTCAGCCATGTTTCTTTAATGGTAAGTTCTACTGAGTGTCTCTTCTTGTGCTCATTGGTTATACATACATCTTCTTTGGAGAAATGTCTACACTCAAGTCTCCAATTTTTTGTCTCTTATTTTGCAGAATGCAATCATAGGAGTCAGTGCTCACCACTGGTCCATCACAATGTGGGGTCAGCATCAAAATGCTACCACTTCCGGAGTAGCAGACAGCATGAAGATGTCAGCTGAGCTATCTGGCCAGATCAACGGCCTTTCTAGCAATGACTATTTAGGAGGTGACAGAACACACCAGTGTGAGCTCAACCTGAGCAATTGGTGGTGAAAGTGTCACCTGTCCCACTGCAGGGATCTTGTGAGAGGAATGCCAGGGTCAGGGCTGGGAAGGTGTTCTGCACAGACATGTGCAGTGGGGGACATGTGGGCTCTGTGTTCCTGGGCCAGCAAAGGTGAGTCCAGCTTGGTAGAAAGTGGGAGAAGTCGATGATGTGAACCGAGTCAGGGCTCTGGCCTCATGCTAGTTTCTGGCCAGGTGTGGTGGCACAAGCCTGTAATCCTAGCACTTGGGAGGCTGAGACAGGACAGTCACTGTGAGTTCAAGGCCAGTCTGGACTGCATAGTGAGACTGTTCCTGCAATAAAAAATTCTAGTTTCTGTCTCCATGGAAAATTTTCTTAAATGTGCGTGCGAATTCAGCCCTGCCCACCACTGTAAGAGGTTCTGTTATCTTCTTAACATCACCATGAACCTCTATACCTGTATGGAGATGTCCTTTTAGTGCTCATGTCTGTCCTTGACTTATCTGGTGATGTCAGAGACAAATTTTGCAGCCACATTTCTCCTCTTCACCTTATTAATAAAGCATAGATAGTCATGAATTAATGATAAGTAACCAGGCAGGTAGTGTGAATTATATGCACCCTTAAGGAAGCAGCTCAGCTTTCTCAGTTTGAGTATTTACAGTGTATTGACTCTTACCATGTGCCCACATTTGGTTTAAAGTGTTTGTTTATTAATACATGTTTGCGGTACTTACTGACTGTACCCACTGTGGGGCATTGGTGCATGTACATGACACATCCTAATTCTTGTTCCCCTTCCCCAACCTCCCTCCATCACAAGATCCCCTGTCATTATCAAATCTCTGTCTCTCTAGTCCTTATTGAATACCTTTTCTTTAGCTCTTTATTTATGCTCTGGATTTCTCATATCAGAGAAGTTATGTGTTACTCAAGCTTGTGTAACTGATGTATTTCACTTAACATTATGGTCTCAGAGTGCTTCCATTTTCCTACAAATGACATGAACTTATACTTTTTCATGGCCATGCATCATTCCGGTTGTCTTCCAACCCTCAGTAGTGTCCACACCCGTGTTGTAAAGGATATATCCCTTGATATCCACTTACCTATTTGTAGTGTTTCTGGTGCATAAACAGATAATTATGTGGCAGCATTTTTGGGGGATGTTTTGGTTTGTGTCTGGATGTCCCCCCAAAGACCCATGCAGTCATATGGACGGCAGGGTGGGAGGCTTTTCGGAGGTGGCTGAATCTACAGTTTGTGATCGACTCATAGTCCAAGGCTGGGATTAAGGGTGTGAGTGCTATCCCTGCCCTAGGGCAGGTAACTTGCTTACAATATAAGGGACAGCAAGGTTTGTCTCTGCTGTTCCTCTCCTTGCTTTCGCTTCCTTTTGTCCACCATGAACTGTTGCCCCTGTGCCATGCCACCCTGCATTGGAGCCAGCTTGATTATGGACTGAAGCTTCTATAAATCGTGAGCTAAATAAACCTTTCCTCCTTTAACCTTGGATATCAGATATTTTGTCTTAGCAAAGAGGAAAGTAACTTAAGACAGTGGGAAGCGTTGTTGAGACAGGGTCCCACTGTGTAGTTCAGGCTGATTTTGAACTCACTACATAGCCCAGGTTGGCCTCCAACTCATGGAGAGTCTCCTGCCTCAGTCTCCTGAGTGCTGGGATTACAGAAGTGTGCTGCCACACCCAGCTCTTCTGCTAGTCTATTTTTATCTGTCTCTGGATGTTGATCCCTCATGGCTCATTTTCCATCTTGTGTAAGATTATATAATACTCTCGACTGGAAAAATTATACTAAAAAAGCGCCCCTCTTACATGACAGGCCTTTTCATCTACCTTCTTTCCCACCTTCTTCTCTGGTCCATTTCATTTGGCTTCAAGAGAGTTAAGAAAGAATTTATTTTCTTTTTTTGTTTCCCTCAACACCAGTTGATACTCAGAAACTACAGGGATAGATTCTATGCCTGGATAGAGGAAGGAGAATAAGCAGTAGAAGCTGTGGACTGGGTGATTTAAGAGAAGGTACAACCAACTTTTAGGGCCCTTTGAAGAGGTGTGTAGCTGTGAGTGTCATGGCTTTTCATTTTCAGCAAAAAAAAAAAAAAAAAAAAAAAACAAACCCAAAACAGTCCAGGAGCAATAAAGGCCTGGCTAAGGTTCTGCTTCCCGGGAGCACTATCTCTGCTTAGCTACAGCACTGCTGGAGGGGAAAGAAAGGATTCCTGGCCCATAGACCCTGTCTTGCCATCCTCCTCCCCTAGGCCCTTCCCTGGGAACCTGATGACCACGATAACATGAAAAGGCCATGGGCTGCACCCTGAGCCCTACTTTTGCATACCAGTGTCCGGTTGCATTGGCCACCTCCTCTACCAAGCATAACTAGTGACAAAGGAATGTTTCAGAGAAATAACTGATCTGTGGTCTAACCACTTATAGTACAGTAAGAAACACCACCCTGAGGATGATCTGGGCTTAAACTTAGGAGCTCGCACGGATTGCTGACATCAGCAAGAGAGACAGCGGGAGCATCTTGGTCGGGTGGGGTTTGATTCTACGAGTACTAGAAGTCTGAGTTATCGAGGGCCCCTTTATTATCCTTTCACACTGGACCCTTTTTCTTTCCCTTTCTTACTTGGGTCCCTTTTCCCTTCATCCTTCTCCCTGTTCCTGCTGCTGACCCGTGATCTTCAATGAATGTAGCTACTTACTGCCCACCATGAGGTAGACATTCGTCTGTCTGTTCCTTGCCATACACAAGAACTAAACTATTTGGGGTCTGTTCAATCTGGTGAGTCAACAGGGAGGATTCCAGCAAAACTTGGGAGGACTCACCAGACAGCAGAGGCCTCAGCAACCCAGGGACCTTCAGAGACCTGGGCAGAAGTTGGTGTCATGGTTTATGTCTGTGGCCCCCAGGCCTCACAAGTTTAAATTGTGCATTTGTTATTGGTTCATTCTCTAGTGCTTGGGTTGATAGTGTCAGTGCTCCACCCACATAGGGGTGGAGCCAGGATGTGATGTAATGGCAGGAAGAAGGTGGGTCTTGCTTTTTGCTGGTTCCTGTTTGCTGTTTGCAGCCACCATGAACTGCAGCCCAGCCATGCCTGCCTGTCTTGGAGCCAACTGAGTGTGGACTGAAACCTCCAAAAACTGTAAGAAATAAACCTTTCTTTTCCCAACTTTGGGTTTCAGGTATTTTGTCTCAGCGACGAGCATAAAGTAATTAAGACAGTGGGCAACCTGACAACCCAGCCAGTGAGGAAGGTAGCACCACTCCGTTGGGAGACTGTGTCTCTTCTCTCTTTTCTGGACAAAGAATGGGTTCTCAGGAGGGGATGCCAACCAATCTCCATGTGGAGAAGATTGGATTGTGGGGCAAAAGGTTTCTGTCCTTATGGGGGACAGGCGGGCCCTGCCCATCAGTTGGGATTATATTCTGTTGTTCATCCACACCATGTTGAAAGTTCACTGAGACTGATGCTTTCAGGGAGGATGGGCGTAAGCTGAGAGGTTCGAGGGACCAGGCTGCAGGGCAAGGGCGGAGACTGCCAGTAGACAGATGCTCTGGTGTAGCTCTCTGCAGCCGGGGACCAGGAGATGTGAACCTGACTGATGGCTTTTTTCTGTGGGGTACTTAGTAGCTCACCCTGAATGTGGGCAGCCCTTTCTTTAGTGCTCAGGGTGTTTGTGATTCCCTGTGGGTTATACACTCACATGGAGCATTTCCTTTCCAGAGGTTTAGTAACTTTCCTTCTCCTGGTTCTCCCTCTCCCTCTCAGGTTTGGAGTATTGTAATCCCAAACATTGAGTATTATGATCCCTTGTTCAGTCTTCCTCACAATCCAAAAAAGTTATATTTATAATCCCCTTGAGACGTTATTGGAATCCCAGCAAGTTAATTCCCATCTACCACCTCCAATGCAACCCATGGTGAGAGCAAAGACACCGAGACAGATTCAAAGTTATCAGCAGACAAGGCATCCTAAATGCAATCCCCATGAGGACATGTGGACAAAGGCCCTGATCCTAGGCCTCTCCCAGGATTTATTATCTTGTGAAGAAGGGGGTAGCTTAAGGATGAGTGACTGAGGACGGCAGGAACTCCGTAACTTGAGCTGACTGGCCAAGCATCTCTGCAAAATGTAGGCAGAATGATATGAAAGATCAATTTGCAAAATATGATTAAAACAACATTTGAATTGTCAATGTTGCTTCAGTTTCTGATATGTATATTTCTGGGCATGGGGACTCATAGCTCTTGCTTTGAGGCTCCTACCCAGCTGACATTCCTGGAGCTAACTGGCTCTGCCATCCTGCTGTGTTCTTATCTTTTACAGAGAGCACCATGTGAGGAAACAGGAGACTTTAGAGGTTACATTCCAGTACCTCAGCTGGCCTTATCTGCAATGCTTAGAGCCAGTTGAAGAGAGAAGGAAACACCACAGCCAGCTTTGTACACATCAGTACATGGAAATAAACCTGATTTAACCAATATTGCAGCAATTGTTCTGCAAGGGCAGTTGCTACAGTTGCCTCCTACATCAGCGTTTCATTTGTTTAGTTGTTGGTTCTGGATAACTCAAGAACAGGGTTAAGAGACACAATGTCCTCCCACAAGGGAACACAGGAACTGGTCTGTTTAAACCTTTCGCCACTGCTTCCCAGCGAGTCCTCTCTGACTCATCCAACCTGGGTCCAAGATGCCCACCTAGAGCGGCTGCTTCCTGGGCAGCTTGCTGATACCAATTTCCTCTCTTTTTACTCAGTCTTGCTTTCATTGCAATAACTGTGGCATAGCGCCTGCTTTTTGAGAGTCTGTCACCCCATGTGTATGTTTTATGGCTTAGTCTAGTGAGTAGAGTTTTTGCCAGGGGTGGGTCTTGTTCCCTTTCCATTGGCTAAGGGACATTCAGCCAGTAAGCTACCCTATGTATGGGCTTTTCAACAAGAACATGAGTTGTAAGCGTTGCGAAGGAAATTTCCTTGCTCGGAATGGTTTTGCTTTAAACTCAATTATGGATGAGTCTCAGTGATATGTAGGGTTTTTCCATCTGCCACGCTGAGTGCCCAGTAAACTTCCATAGTTTTTAATCTTTAAACACACACACACACACACACACACACACAGATGAGTTGTGCTTATAAGGAAAATCCAATGAGTCCAAGGTAGTAGCCCTGGTACTTACTTGGGGTCCCAGGTGTCCAGTCCCAAGAAACTCAGCCTACTCAGGTTAATCTCCTCATCACTCTAAAGGAATTCAGTTTAGCTAGATAATAAAACCCCTGGGGGCCTAAAAAGGAAATTCAACCTTACCAGTTCAACTCCTGGAAGGAAATGTTCTGTCAGGTTAAACCCCTGGAGGGAAATGCAGCTTGACCAGGTTGACCCCCTGGGGGCCTAAACTTAGATCCTGATTTTTGCTCCTGGCAAATGGAATGGGAACCACCTCATCTGTTCCTTCTGAGTCCTGATGTTGTCTTAACCATCAGGATGAGTCCCACACTAAAACCCTTCAAAGAGATCATCCGGTATCTCTGTGTGGTAACAGATGGCCTATGTATCCTCTTAGAGAAGATAAGATATAGCCCCCCCAGCCTGAATTATAAGGCCATATTTCAGTTACATCTTTACTATAAAGAGCAAGACAAATAGAGATACCTTATATTCAGGTCTTAAAGCCCCGTCCCAGGGCCTGTCTGTGCCCTAGGAGTCATCATCTCTCAGGAGGTGGTGTAGTAGAGGAGTCCCTCCTGTCGGCTGCTCAGTAAGTACCCTCAGGAAACACATGCCATCTCTGGAGTCCTCCTCCTACCAGGACTGGGCCTACTTACCACAGGGCCTTAGACTCAGAGAATCCTGGGTCTGAGCGCACCATGCTCTACCCCTTCAAGAAGTGGCAGGCACTGATGATACAGTCTGTGAGCCAGTTCCCTTTCAGTCACAGATATTCAACAGTGCGAGGAGAAACTGGGTAGATGCTCTGAGGATCCTGAAAAGTGTGCAGATGGTTTCCAAGCCCCAATGGTGGCTTCTGATCTGACCAGGCAAGGTGACTAATTCTTCCTCATTTCTTGTTGCAGAAAGGAAAAGGATGATAGAGGGTATAAATTAGGTCAATGAGAAAACCTTTGCACCTTCACTCTCTGATAAGAAACTGACTATGGCACTATTAGGGCCTCAGGAAGGGCCTGAGTGGAACTACACCATAAGGTGGAAAAATGAAGGGAGAGATATACATCAAGACCATTTTAGCTGGTGTGTAACAGGGATGCCCAAACCTGGGAACTGTGATGTGATCAGATCTATTAGTCAGGGGCCCTGTGAGAAGCCAGTTGCTTTTCAGCTTCCACTTGAAGAGGCTCTCTAAAATATACTAATTTAGACTCTGAGTCTAGATAAGGTCAGATCATCCCAAGGCAGTGTTTTATCAGTCAGTCAGCTCCAGGGCTTAGGAAAAAAAGATCCGAAAAACTTTCACTGGGCCTGCAAATTGAAAAAAGCCAATTGGCTGGTGAAACTTCTTTGATGTTCAGTAACCATGAGAAGTAGAGGACAAACTAGAGAAGGAAAGGAGAGGAGAAAATAAAAATTTTAAAAATTGTACATTAAAGAGAAACCATAACTTTGAGTATCAGCCCAGTTTATTTACTTCCTTCCTTCTCACCAAACAACAAACCTGAACAACACCTCTTCAGCTATAAATGAATCTGTCCATTTCTTTTAACTTCACTCATGAAGGGACCTCCTTTCTTGGAATTTCTCCCAGGGTTAGACCATAATCTCACTAGGAGTGAACCATTCTCTACCCCAGCTAAGACTAGGACTAAGACTAAAACTAAAAGCTAGTCTATACAGTATGAAATTCCATCGCTTCCTACCTCCCAAACCATGTGAAAGACCCCCAGTTCCCAACTGTATTGTGCCTTATTTCTTTGAGCACCCAAAGTCTGCTCTAAGTGTGCCCTGTATCTATCTGCCTGTGATGAATCTTTCTCAGGCTTCTTTTACTGTCTTGTCCTGAAAATTCTTTTTCCATAACAGAAGTTAGCAAAACCACATACTTATTTTAAAGGAATTGATTTTTTTTTCCTTTTTGCAAATCCATTTTATTTCAAAAAGAAAAGAAAAATAAAGGAATTGGTTAAATTCTTCATTTTACCCTTGGGGATCCTCAGACTCAAACTATGGAAGAGCCATCAGGAAAATATTACCCAATATAAGATTTCACAATGCTATTAACCACTTCTTTTATCATTAAGATTCAGAAACTAGATTGTTGGGTTCAGCTCTTCAAGGTAAAAGTTGAACTGTCTGAGGCATCAAAAGACAGAGACCACAAACTTCATACTCCTGTGAACCGGTAAACAACCCCAAGTTTCTTTTCATGAGAGAAAACATCAATCATTCTGGTAAAACAGAGATAAAATGGTTTTCCCCATTCAAGTAGGTTATGTAAAAAGTCTCACTATTGTCTTGTTATTACATTTACTTTTACTAAAATGATAGTTATGGCTGATTCATAAAGGGGCCCATAGCCAAGTATATTTGAGTGCACTCTGGTTTATAAACAGTTGTCTTATGTGTGCTTGTCCATCTGTCTGTCCAATTTGTGCTAATGACTGTTGCAACATCTGTAACGGTTTTGTTTGAACTCAACAACTTTTTCTTCTTTTTGTCTTTTTTTTTTTTGAGATTTCCATGGAAAACAGTTTATATAGGTTTAAATATTTATGTCTACAACTTAAGTCAGTAAAGTTAAGGACATGCTTCCAACCAGGTTTCCAGTCAATCAAAATGATGTCAAGACTGATTTTACAAATGCAATGCCTGTTGTTGTCTGTGTACAATGACTTGAAAATCTTTTACTGGTCTAAACTAAGGTGTTAATTGTTATGATCCAATTCTCATAGGTCATCTAAAAATAAAAAATATTCTGTTAAGAAAACTAAATGGGCATCTCTTGGGCTTAAGAAAACTGCTAGACAAAGCTCCCCTTGGTGAATAAAGGACAGCTTCCTAGAAACATTAAAGTATTTATCCACCAATAATTTCCTTAGCATTATGGGAGACAGATTCCAATACATTTCTAAACATATACGTAATATATTTACATTGGTTATCATCAAAAAGTTGTTTTTTGGTGGGTGAAACAATAAAAGTTTTTTATTAAAAGATGTTCTTGGTACAAAACTAAACTAAAAGGCAAAGGCTTCCATATGGTTGTGAATTTTTATTGTTAATTTATGGTGTACTAACTATATTCATGTCTTCTGGGTGTATAGGTTTTCAAAGATGTAAAACTAGGGTTGTTTATGGTGGTAAATTTTTGTTTTAGATTCAGATATTTGCTTCTCCCTTATTAGTGTTCCAACTACTTCTGATAAAAGCATGAGACCATCCACCAAATGAGAATTTTTTTAAAAGAAAAAGAGCTTATGTGATGTATGTGTATATATTATGTATGTTCCACTATATTTAGAGATGCAAAGCACCAAGCAGTCCAGGTAATTTCACACACTAAACATGAGAGGTTAGACAGTGTGAACTCCTAAGGCACATGTACAGACAGGTGTTGTCTTCTTGGAGAGCACGTTACTAAAGGATAACTAAGTGAGCATTTCTTTGTGGCATTTGATGTCTTGCAATCAGACAGAGATGTCTGACTAAAAAGGCTTTTCAATACTATGCTGGACATGTATGTGTGTTTAAAAGATAATGTCATCATGACTGTAGTGTTGCAATGCCATCTGGTCTTGATGTCAAATTTTCCCTGTGAAATTTTATTACTGTTAACAGTCTGTAGGAATTCAACTTCTAAAACAACCATGACTGGTTAGAAATAATAGTCCTTTATACTTTATATTTCAAAGTGCTTAGATATTCAGATATGATATTTAATGAATAATATATAAACTCCCTGCTCTATGTAAATACTAGTACCACTGTCTTTCTAGGTGTTCAACGATTAAGGCTTGGAAACCAAAGTTAAAGTAACTAGGCTTAAAAGGTAACCAATATTTTGGCCCTGGTCCCCAGGGTCAACAAGGACCCAGGACATGGGGGAACCTCTCTCTCAATAGGATGCTACAACTTTGGTGAATCACTCAAAACCATCTCTATAGGTAGTTCCAAAAGTAATGTCTTAAGAGACTTAACTGGCTTTGAGAGATAGCAAGAGGTAAATGTTAGTTGATGCAGGTCTCTCTTTAACCTGGCCTTAACCACCCAGTAGGGGAGTGTAACCAAAGGCATATAAAAGTAATAGCAATATAGGCTCAACATAAAAGAGGGCTCCGATCACTGCTCCCTGCTCACTATTTCTAGCTACCCCTGTAGACAGATCTAGGAGCCAGCTGGTTACAAGTGCTACTCTGATCCTTTAAGAACAAGAACAGTGTCTGATGTGTCTCCTTCCCCAATCTCTTTTCATTCTAGCACTCATGCTTTGGTCACACAGGCCTTACTCTCCTGGTAAAGTTTGTTCACTCTCA